TTTCATTATAAAACCATTATATTCTGTCACAGTGTATACTGTGAACGCCCATGACGGCGGTCAGGCAGGAAAAAGCCCCGGTTATTGGACTCTTTTGGCATTGTAGCTTGTATTTACATATAGGTAATCATTCGATTCTGCTTTAAGAAACGGGATTTTGCCGTCTCGTACAAAAAATGCAAGCGCATGTGCAGAAAACGAGATTTCATCTGGTACTCACCTCGTCTGCTTGGCAATGGAGATCAAGATCTCCAGATTCCGATTAATGTCCGCTAATGTACGGCACTGTTCTGGATCCTCGTCCGCTGCTTCCGGCAGAATAATATATGGCGCATAAATTTCACCATACATCACAGACATCAACATGATCCAAATGTAGACAAACAACATTCTTCTGGACATGGCAAAAACTGCGCTTTCCGTGCTTCGTATTATTTACCTTTCACTTCGTGTGATATGTATCTGAATGTTTCAGGTTATCAACATAGAATCAAATGTGGATTCGGATATATTGCACGGGCAACTGACAAGGGACGGAATCAGTTCATCGATAACCAACTCACCGTAAAGTACGTAGAACTGCGTATCCTGTTGCGCTGGTCAATAACTTACGACGCAATCACATTCATCACATCCTGCAAGTATAAAGCGGATCCGGCAGTTAATGCACGAGCAACAATTGTACTGAGTGATAACTACAGCGAATTACCGCTGGACAAAAGAGTCTTCATTGTGATGTAACCTAAGAATTACCAAATGGACGAAAGAGTGTTCATTTTTATTGTATAATGCGCTAGAGAATCTGTTTTCTTATTCATTCTATCCGCGCCTTTGCTGCATCATGTACAGAGTACATGATCAAAGGGAAATTGTTGTAAATTCCTCTCGTACAATTGTATGTTATACTGACATGCTATACGGCAGTCGCACTACGACTACCGTACGCGAAGACCAACCACACAGTCGGACTCGGTAGACTGGGACTCTCTGTTCTGAACGGTGATCTGCTCCTTACTCGCAACCAAATATCTGGATGATGTTGTTATCCAGGTTCTATGTGACTTCTTGCAGGTACACACTAATGCTTTCGCCACAAGAAGGTCACTCAGGATCTCATAACCTTTAGTCATAATCTGAAAACTGCACACACTGCATACAGATCTGCCAAGATCAAGACGAAACTCAGACTAATCGACCCCAACACAATCGCTGATGGAATTAGCGATTAAAAGCTCTAGATAAGAACAGGTAAATCGTGAACTACAACGAACGTACAAAGTACAGGCATATTACGCATACCGCGTTAACACTATCTTATTCAAGCTTAACTCTGCACATTTTTTCCAAAATCTAACGGTGCATGAGAAACGGCTGAGCATGTATTTCTTCCAAATGCGTGTATGTACGTGAATCACGTAAGCCACCTCCGGCTATGGTAAGTTTAGTAAGTATGGTTTAAAGGGTCTAACGTATAGTAAGGTAGAAACTGCCAACGCAAAGCGCCGTGGTGAATTACAAATGCACAAAAACACTAAGCTGCGGATTTGGCATATTTCATTTCTCTTCTTAAACTCATAACCGCGAAAAAAGCAAGTCTACACAATTCGACCATGACACTTCAGTCCTGTTTTCTGAAGTGACATGACCACCTTCCGTAGCATGGGAAGCCATTAAAATTTCCGCGTGATTACTTTGAATGCGATCTCCTGTCGCAACCAGGCAGTTATTTTTCCCCGTTATCACTCTCTCCTGCTTCACATTAACTCCAGTGGGAAATCAAATAGCCTTTTGTCTGTCAGGTGTGTCGCCATTGCAGTTGTAAGGACTTGTGAGTTGAGTTTGTAGAGCTTCACGTTTTCCAAGGGCTTATTTTTTCGATTTCATCTTTTCTTTTCGATAACTCGTATTCACAGTGACTGGCCGTGGAAAGGGTGGTAAAGGTCTCGGAAAAGGAGGTGCCAAGCGCCATCGCAAAGTCCTCCGCGCGACAACATCCAGGGCATCACCAAGCCCGCCATCCGTCGTCTGGCGCGTCGTGGCGGAGTGAAGCGCATTTCCGGTCTGATCTACGAGGAGACGCGCGGTGTGCTGAAGGTCTTCCTGGAGAACGTCATCCGCGACGCCGTCACCTACACTGAGCACGCCAAACGCAAGACCGTCACCGCCGTGGACGTGGTCTATGCCCTCAAACGCCAGGGCAGGACCCTGTACGGATTCAACCTGTAGATTCCATCACGTGTCCCGTACTGTCGCTTTGATTGTTGTAGTGTTGTCTTCACTCTAGTGTACATAAGAGCAGCGTCGCCACCTTGTATCGTTTTAAAATCTTGTTAGGATCTCAATTTTCAAGTTTCGATTAGCGGAAAGTTTGTCTGATTCTGCCCTGAGACATCGATGAATTAATCAGAATATAAAAAAAAAACGGATAACAGACAAAGGACGCATTCGTGCGCCGCTTAATTAAGCAATAACCCGCGTGGGCTTGCTTTGGCACCGCTCAGTCGCAAATAAGGCGCAACATAGGCATATAGAGTTATTCAGAGAATTACGTCTCATTGCGAACACGCCCTTGCAGTCGTTGGACTAGGTTATCACCCTGATTGGAACTGTCGCTCCCAGAAATATAAAAGGAAATTGTGAAGCGAACATATACGGTTACTAAGCACGAAAGTATGGTGCACTAATTCATCGTCAAATTATGCTGACTTTTACACTGCTGAGTCTTTTAAGCGCTAAATTACACAGATGCGCTACATGCACATACTGCGAGTCCCAGAAAATGAATACATCGCTTCTCGTAAATTTTACAAGCAATAACTTAACCTCTAGCGCGGCAGCGGCTTCACTATCACACATCCTAACGGCCACCGTGAGTGTCATTCTTATTGTTACAGTGACATATAATCTTCTGTTTATCGCCGCATTCCTCCGCTGTGCGGCCGTCCGCACGCCCTTTTCCTGCTACCTGCTAAATGTATCGGCGTGTGATCTTGGTTTGGCTCTGTTTAGCATGTCGGGTTTCATATGGTTCACCGCTTTCCCGCAATCCAGCGCCAGCTACTGTCCGTATTACAATTTTTTCAACGCTCATTTTCTGGTGGGCATCGGCTGCACAGTTGTGCTGGTCAGTATCGATCGGATTCTGTCGGTATTTGCTCCTCTGTATTATAAACACCATCGTTCGCTGCAGTCGTCATTGCTCGTCTGTGGTGCTATGTGGGTTTTTGTGCTTGGGTTGATGTCGCCCATGACCATCATGGACAGCCTCTGGTAAAATACGATGACGCTGCCATGTTTCATCAACTAGGATGCGCAGCCCAAGTATACACTCGTTATGGAATTTGTTGGCTTTGACGTGCCACTGTTATTTATGTTTTTATATAATATAATAATATACATAATATTATTGTTATTACCTTGTTATTACCTTGTTATTATGGTCAGGTGGAACGCAACCGGCAAATACGGTGGAATCCGGGGCAATGGAAAAAAGTTTGTCTAGCGTCGGCATGCCAGATAAACGACGCAGCAGGCGAAGCGTAGAAGATGCTAAAAAATACCGATTGTTTGCGCTGTTGGCCATTTGTGACCTCGTCTGCTTCGTTCCGCCGACGATCTACTATCTATCACTGGAATTTGCTGATTATTGGAACGATAATCTTTATATAGCGGCTATCTGTCTGCAGTATCTGAGCTGCATGTTTAACCCCATCATCTACCACGCGAGTTTACGATCCATGGTGCATTTGACAATTACGAGCACCGGGTGTGGCTTGAATAATCCACTAGGCATTTGCGCAAAACGAAACCAACACGGTTTTAAAGCGCTTCGCAATGTCCAAGAGGAATTACTCTCCTCCCGTGGTGACCCGATATGCTGGCGGAGGCGAAGCCAAATAACCGAATGGACGACCGGACTTTTTGTATCGCAAACTGGCCCCCGACCGATGTCGTGACGGAGAGCGTGGAGCACCCGTTCAGCTGCAGCGTTTAGACTGGCGGAGCGTATCCTGGTATCATCTACCGGGCGAGACAGCCGGTGCCAGTGCCCCAGGAGGACGTCCCGGGGCAGGCCTACAACTTTTGCCGCATGAAAACCATCCCCTCAGTCGTGGTCTTCGAATTCACTATGCGGTTTGGGGAATCTGTGCAGTGCCCCACCCTCCCACCCGGCAGCAAGCGGGGTGCCATCCGAAGGAAGGCGAGAAACATCCGAAAATGCACCGATGGGGGAATCTAGGAACTGAACCCCGGCTACGTCGTAAGAACCGGAAGGCAGCACCATTGCACCACGGCACAAAGTGTTGGAAATTCTTGAAAGACTTTGTCGCTGAATGTGTGCCGGTTTTCTCTTTACACGTACGGCCTTGCCTACAATATGCCGGCGGCGGAAAATGGACAGATACGACTGTGATGGGCGTAACAGTCGACTGGCTAAGGACACCTTGTCCAATTCCTCAGAGGTTTTGGCTCATAACTTCGTATATATGGCTTACTTTTTACTTTAACTTTCACAATTGTAAAAATTATTCCATATAATAAAATACAGTAATTCGAGTAGTTTACTATTGGAGTAGCAGTGTACGGAGACTGTACTGAGGCCTCTGAGAAACGAAGTCCTGCATTCAAGAATGGAATAAGTGGATAACACTGCTTTAGAATAGTGTTTGCGTGAAAACGTTCATACACGTGTTAACCTTATGTTTTTCTACCACAAAAAATCTTTATTCTGTTACTTTCACGGTGCAATATGAAATCGTTTCGGTATCGATACAAAAAATTGAAAAATGACTGTCAAAACACAACAGTTCGCCACGCTAATATCTATCGCTGTTAACTGTTTAGTGCATAACGCAACCTCTTATGCGAATCACCGGAGCCTTAAATTAACAACGCCAAAACTGTCGTTAATTTTGCCGTTAATCGTCCGGCCGTGCAAAACGCAACCTACTTATTGGATCACCTTATCCGCAGCAGTCTCGTTTAATATCACAAAGTTTATTTTCATCTTTCTTGATTTTTTTTCACCAAAAGGGGAAACAAAAAATGCGGCTTGTAGACAACCCTACAGAGAATAAGAATTCCCCGGCTCTGTGCAATTGCATTCACATTGCATAAGGCCACGTCCAAAAATTAAAATCAATGTGCAGCGGTAGTACAGCAAGTATAATGCGCCTGCAACGGCACTCACTACACCAAGTTTAACTAAAAAATCAACAAATGATGGCCCGAATATGGCCCGTACACATGCTCCAGCAGCGACCCACACGAGACTTTTCAGGCAGGAATCGAGAGTAGATAACCAGGAACCTTCCCCATCTCCAGAATCCTCCGGATCCGTCACAATCTTCAGAATGTTGCCGATCTCCAGTAATGGTTGGGCGGTGTGGTTGGAATTGATCGGAAGAGCGGTTCGTTCAGTTGGTCGAGGTATGGTATTTCTGCAAGAACGAACCAATTATGCGAAAGCCTTGTTTGAGCGGAAACGGACTAAAGTTCTCTAAACGCTATAGAGTAAATTGACTAAGCAGGAAATAAATTGACTCAGCACCAAAGCAATTGGTGATAATCGACAAATTGCGACACTATAAGTGTAGTTGTACTGCATCCTATACACTATTAGCGAGCGTTTAGCTTTAAATTACACTCTAGCAGTAAATTTAATTTACATCAACGCATTAACGCCCACATTACATTAACGCCCCCGCCCCCCGCCCCCCGAAATTAACTCAGGGTTTTAAGCGCCCCCTCCCGAAGCTCTCGAAAAAATAAAGGCCCAGGGAGTTAATACCGAGTTTTACAGTAATCATATATTTATATTAGCCGTCCGTCACAGCAAAGAAATAGCATATTAAGCTTTTATTGATGCGTACATTACCTTGCATTCTCGATTGCGGCTTCCAGATTTTGGTCAAAGTCGGTTGTGCCGTTTATAGGATGCTCCAGAGGTTCCGATAAAAAAGGGTAAGACGAGAAATAGCTGCTGTGTGCCAAATATCCAGCCACAGTCAGGGATATGATTAAAATTGCAACGCACTCGTACAGCATTCTCTCTCACGCTGCAAAAAGAACACGCTGTCTGTAGTCATAATACTCATCTACTATTAATTTTAGTATTTATGTAGCACCGGCCACCGCGTATTGCGATGGAGTTAGAAGTTACTATACTTAGTAGTTCGAGTGTGCATTATGTCGCGCGAGTGTTGTTCCGAGATTCGATTAAAAATAATATAATTAATCCAGATTTTCATGTAGCGAAAGTCAAATGACAAGAAGCAAATTCCTGCATTAAATATCGAGTTTGGGAAAAAAATGCTGGCAATACAAAAAATAGTACAAAGCGGTTTGAGCACGTTATTCTTTTTAAAAATCTTTTTATAAGAGACAAAAAGAATTTCTAACGTTACCATTTCTCAAGCTTCTCAAATAATTGGAGAGGCGATTAAGAAAAATTACAAAATTAGTCGGTGGAGATCACGAGTAAAAGTGCGAAAGAGCGTCCATGGTTTTCTCCGCAGTTTTTTTCTGTTTTATTGGAGTTAATTGGAGTAATTATTTGTTTCGGTGCCTTAATGAAGGGCGTTGCTAACAATATAGCGAATAAAAATTTCCAAAGAGAGATTCAAATTAGGGAAAATTTTTTTGGAAAGTCCCTTTGAGAAAAAATTAAAAATGTCTCGGAGTAGGTGACAAAAACGGTATATTGTTACAAACTTTTGTTAAACAATTTTATGAAGCATGGTTTCTTAATAAACGATCACATGTACCCGGCAAGATCAGTGGCGAACTTTAAGGTATGTGCCCCGCCAGCCCCGGGATTTTTTGCAGAAGATGGTACTTTAAACAAGTAAAGGGGGAAGTACTGCTTAAAAATGTAAACCGATTTTGCAAAAACAGCTAAAGATTTTACTATTTTTTGTTGAATTTCTAGCAATTTTTGAAGAGAACCGACTGCTAGCTTCGAGCGAAAGCAGTTAGCTTTTTATTGTGCTTCAATAAAAGAATTTAAAATCTTTGAGCGACACAGAGGAATAGAGGATAGAGTCATGATACTATTCCACAAAATAATACGACACTCACATAATTATGAGGTTAATAAACTAATAATAACGTACGTATGTGTGTATTGTACTCACTAAAATAGTGTTATTTTGATATTTGACCATTTATTAATAAACCAAGAAGTTTTTTTCAAGAAACCTGTAATAATTTGAATTTTTATACAGAATTTCTTATTTCTAGCAAGAAAATGTACATTATCTTCGCGCGAAAATTCATCTTTCCTGTTAAATTTACACATGGTGTAGCGTTACATCTCACCATTTAAATTTTGATGCACGAAATTATATGTATTTTCTGAAATTATTTCTACTTGTTTATGGAATTTCTAGCCATTTTTTGAAGTGAAATCGCTCGTTGGCTTCGCGCCCTAATAAGAAACTGATGTACGTACTTTTTATCCCAGTCCCCTGCTTTACAGGCAAATTGATCTAGAGTAGTTTGGTCAATAATTACTTTAATTTTACTTATACAAAATTTTCTAGCATTTTCTACAGCAGAATATTTCACCGCCTTTTGGGTTCTCGGGTTCTCAATGTCCTCCCGTCCAAGCGAATTAAATTCGCACATGAGTCCGTAACATAATAAAAAATGTTTTTTTTGGAACAAGGTGAACTCTATGCCTAAATTTTGTGTAAACATTCTAATTTCATTTAATAAAAATTAAAACATACTGACGGTAATTAAAACATAATTACAGTAAAGGGCTACTTTCTCGCGTTGCGCGAAGCCAGTAAGCGGTTCCACTGCTAGAACACTGCTAGACATAGATTTAAGGAAATTCCGGTTCCGCTTACAGTTTTAAGATTTTTTACCTTTCGTGATGCACCACATCCAGAGCACAAACAGGGACTATCGTACGCCGAGTTTCTTTGTGGACCCACGGGCGCTGATATTACATGCAGCATGGTCTAAAAGCTCGGATTTCCAAACCCATACGACTTTGTTGTCCACGAAGTATCAGATTTTTCTTAATATTCAGAATGATATTAACAATAACTGCATAAACGTCATACGTCATCCAGATTTTGCAAACGATTTCAATTTAAAACTCATTATAAGATTTACTTGTTACTTGTTAGTCACTTAGTGTCATTTATATATCCGACGCGTGCTTAAGCTTGTGTTTAATACGTATTTGATGCTGCGTTTTCCCCTGTTAATCGTATATACGGTAGGCCGTAGGCGCTACTCGTAGGCATGAACGCGTCACCACAGCCACGTAGGCAGCCACGTAACCAGTCGCTCAGTATGTGCCGACTGCGCGGTAGTACGTATCGTACGTATTTACGTACTCGTACATTTTAATAATTATCACTCGAAATGTTAATAAAGTCGTGCGTGGCCGACGGTCCGACGGGCACAGAGCGAAAACATCGACTTCTTTATTTCAGCGATCCTACACACAACCCCAACCTGCATCCAATATTCCCCCTAAATCTCCACTGGTATGGCAGACCTGCGCTGCAGACCCGGTGAAAGCCTAGTGACTCCCCAGTGCCAAGAGGATACACATGTACGTTTGACCATGGGCTTGTGGTTACAGGCTGCCGCCCTGGACAGCCTGATACAATTCTGGCAGCAAATCAAGTTATCAACGCAACGTCCACAAATACGAATTGATTTCATTTTCGGTAAAATTTAGTCATACTCGTACAGTAGAAATAAGTAAACTTTTTAATGGGACGATGTTGGTTATTTTTAATCAGTTTTTGTTAGTAAGAATGGTTTGTTGGTATACATGACTTTTTTTGTACATTTCTAAGGTAAATGTCAGTCAGCTGGCGGTTGTGCGGCTAAACTTCTCTAGGCTTACGTTGAATTCTTGATCAGCTTGTAATAATGATTTTTTTATGCATTATCATTGCTGCCAAACGTACTGTTCGTTAAAAAATCAGCGCACCCGAGAGTCGTGACGATGTAATTCAGGTGGCGGCAAGAACATACAGTACACCAACGGATACCAGTGAGTGTTGTTCCTATGCCAGTTACCGCTGCTGGTAGAATAAGATGTGATGAAAAATCGCTCCGTCATTACTGCATTGATGTGAAAGTGTGCGTAATTAGTGTTCTTGAAAAAAATTCTGAATTGTATGTGTTATTTATTTAAGGGATTTGGCCCGGTGTATACCACCAAATTTCTGTGCATCCACGGGAACTGTCACTGTCGTGCACTCCCAAATACTTTTTTTGTGTTGCTTTATGGTATTTCGTAGCCAAAGGTTTTTTATATGCAGGCGTGAAATCCGGTTGGAAAGTTATGGGTGAATCAAAATTCCAAAAAGTTTGAATACATTCAGGTGTACCAAACGTCTCATCATATACAGATCTTCTTGAAATTATACACGTAAAGGCACATTAATTTAATGATCGTTTTTAGACCAAATCCGAAATGGACCTTTTTCTAAAAACTTTAAAATGAATTTTAAATTTTTTAAAATTTATTTAAAATTAAAAATTTTGCAACTCTGGTTCGGTGTAAGAACGATCTTCATCTGTATGCGCGTTTACATGCAAAATTGGAAGAAGATCGGTTTACAATGAGACTTTTGGCACACTTGAAAGCATTTAAACCTTTTGGAATTTCGATTCCCCTAAAACTTTCCAATCGGATGTTGTGCTCGGAAAGGGATTTCCCGCCTATGTTTGCCTATGTATACAAATCATTTGGGGACAAAATATAATAAATCAATGCAAAAACAAGTTTCAAAGTGCGCAACAACAAAAGTTCCCAAAAAAACTTAATCATTACGCTAACACTTTCGCGATGAATCTACTTAAAAACATCGTGCAGCACTAAGCCACTGCACTGCGATCCTGCTTAGGCCCTGGCTGAAAAGGTACTGTATGCGTAATTCATTGCAATGAATTACGCATACAGTACCTTTTCAGCGAGTACCTTTTCACCTACAGTACAGTACCTTTTCAGTTATCGAGACGCGGCACATCGACACGCTACCAATTGGTAGCGTGTCGATGTGCCGCGTCTCGATAACTTAAGAATTTATTTATCAAATTTTTAGTTTACCGGTTTATCAAAAAATGCACCGCCACCCACGGGTGTCCTTGCATTTCGCTCTGTCCATGCATTAAGAACCATCTAAAATCAATTTTACATCGTGTGCGTATATATTGTTCTCCATAGTTCGAATTCATAGTACGGGAAAGCGGGCAAAACTGTATGAATTGCAGATCTAGAGCATATGCAATTTATGCATTAAAAAATGTATAAATTTCATATGGTCAGGATATGCAATTGTTCAAAAAATATGTCGGATGTTGTAAGAACAACAACCTTGTGCGTGCTTCAAACAATGACCTTCGACAACTGATGTCAAGTAGCTTGGACATCTGTGGACAGCAACAGGGTTCTAAGCTCATTAAGATGAAAAATTTACCAGTAATAAAGAAAGTAAGAAGTATGTAAGATACGGAGTCGCTGGACTCTAATCCATCACCTTCCTGTTCCCTGTCGTCGTCTCCGGCTCTGTCCAACCGGGAAACATTTGTGCAGTATCGGGTGAAACAGCAGTACTATTCAAACGGTCCCCAGATGGACAAACCGCATAGCTGATCAGAGATTCCAAGTTGGCTAAGGTAAATGTGCCTTCGTGGTCTCTGGAAGAATAACACGGGACATCTCGTTGAGTCCCGCCAAACAATTTTCAATGCAGAGTAGAGTGTAACTTGTAAAGTGAAGAATGTCAAAGCGCATGGGACAAATATGCCAAGGAGCGAGCGGCATTCATTGGACCCTATGCCAGTAAATAAGTTTCGTCGCACAGGAATTACCGGGATACAATTAGCTTTATTAGGATGACCCGACGGGAAGGTATAATAAGACGACTGGGAAGCGGTAAATGCCTGCAGGTACCGGTGACGGAAATGCGTCACTAATTGTACGAATAGCAGTTTAATTACAAAGTACCAAGCGGCACTGCGTGCAATGCTACGGTAGTGGTGCTTTGCTGTACATATCAGAAGAGTATCTACTGTATTACGGTATGTATCTACATATACGCAAATACAAAGAAGCGCAAATACAATACAACACTTATAATGCTAATAATTACAATAACCAAACCGCCGTCTCAGTTCGATTTTATTTACACATTTAAATCTGTTGCGAACAAATTTACAATATCCCTGCAATTAGATCGAAAATGATGTGCATTACCATATTAAATTTAAGATTCAGGGTACTGCTTCGCTCAGCTGCGGATAATCTACCTACAGCTGCTGTAGCATTCAGGATAAGCATTACTAAACTATCGTTATTTTTTGGAGTTATTTTTTCTGTTTTTGCAGAAACATTTAGCTAATCTCCACTGCTAAAATGATCAAGTTGCCTGAAAAGCATGAATGCCAGAAGACTTACGTAATTAAATTGAACTGAGGCGGATGACCTGTCACATTATCGAATACTACAAAGATTACACGTGTTAGTGCTAGCCTTCGCACTTGTGCGAAGGAGGAAGAAAATCTCCTCCCACTAAAAACAGTGCGACGACGCTCTTCGCAATCGTTTTAAGAAAAAAGTTTGAAAGGCGCTCACACTTTTTGTTCGATGCGAAGGCTCTCTTAGAACATTTTGCGCTCACAGTTAAGGGAAGTGGCCCGGTACATGGTACCAAATTCGTGTACATGCACGAAATCTTTCACTTTCGCGCACTCCTAAACCCTTTTTTCTCTTGTTTTATGACAATCTGTAGTCAAATGATTTGTATACACAGGCCTGAAACCCGTTTGCGCGCGCAACATCGGGTTCGCGAGTTATGGCTGTTAGGAAATTCCCAAAAGTTTAAATGCTTTCAGGTGTACCAAAAGTCTCATTATGGACCGATGGCCATGAAGATCGTTTTTACACCGATCCAGACTTCCACGATTTTTTTCAAATTTTAAAATGAATTTTAAAATTTTTGAAATTCATTTTAAAATTTGAAAAACATGCTAGAACAGTGGATCGGGGTAAAAACGTTCTTCGTGGTTATGTGCATTTACGTGCAAAATCTGAAAGAGATCGGTCCATAATGAGACTTTTGGTACACCTGAATGCATTTAAACTTTTTGGAATTTTCTAACAGCCGTAACTCGCGAACCGGATGTTGCGCGCGCAAACGGTTTTCAGGCCTGTGTATACAAATCATTTGACTACAGATTGTCATAAAACAAGAGAAAAAAGGGTTTGGGAGTGCGCGAAAGTGAAAGATTTCGTGCTTGTACACGAATTTGGTACCATGTACCGGGCCACTTCCCTTAATAGCACTTTTCGTTTTCGCACTGTGCGAAGGCCTTCGCACTTGAAGTGTGGCCCTAGCATTAGTTAATTGTTTCAGCCTGGTTTGGTGATTAGTTTTGTGTAGTTTTGTAGTGTTTTGTTTGTATGTACAACAGTTTTATTAGTGCTAGCGTGAAATAATTCTTTAAATGGAAAGGATATGTTGAAGGAAGGTTAGTTGGACTGTTGGACAACATAATGCTAACGCCTTGTAATTTTTGATTTTTCGCTTCGTGTTATTTCGATTCTAATTCCATAGCTAGAAATTCGCTATTAATTGTACATTAACTGCGTACGGATTACGATTATTGTGCGCTTAATCTGTTGCTGATCTCTGTAAATAACGCCTAACTGATTTATGATAATTTCAGCTTACCTAGAATCCGAATTTGTTTTGATGTACGTATTTCTTGCAGAAACTGCGACGAAATGTACCGCGGCTAGTTGTCTCAAAACGATTTTTCCCAAAACGTATTGTCCGTACGTCGGAATGTCCCAACGGCCAGTTCCCCAAACAAAATGTCCTTGCGACCTTTTTCCGTTAAACCAAAAGTCCCAAAGCGTAATGTCTCACGTCGAGTTGTGCGTGAAACGAAATGTCCACGGCGAATTGTCCCACGATGAAATGTCCGCGGCGAAATGTCGCGGTGCCATAATCTGAGATGTATATGTATGTACATGTGATGTATGTGTCTAATTATATACAGAGTACTTCTATAGGGGGAAATCGATTGCATACTATACACCTTCCCTGTACTGCTCCAGTCATCCGTATGGACTGCTACGTTATGGCTTAACAGGAGTTTTTAAAGCGCTGCATTTATACTTGTACCTGCACATTGATGCAGGTACAAGTACCGTGTGAGACGGTAGTGATAAACTGATAATCAACAAAGTGCTGCAGTCAGTGCAGTGACAGTAGAATTTGCATTTTGTTGTGTGTTGCGCAGGCAGAATCGTTTGAGTGTGCACAAATCTGGTTCAAAACGGCACATTTACCACTTAAAATGATTCCCGTAATTTATTCTTCATTTTGCAACCGAAGTTGCGCAGAAGAAGCCACTTTTTCGCCCGAAAATTGAAAATCAAAAGGATGGAAGATTTCGACAGCTCTCAAAATGTGAGCCAAATGCCGCCAAATCACGCTGCCGCACCGGGCGGTGTCTCCTGCGTCACGCGCCGGAAGTTCACAAAATTCGTTTTCTATAACGTTTAGCTATGAAATCTTTGTGAAATCTCCATTTAAAAAACAGGAAAGAGATTTTTAAGGAATACAGGGCAGTCTGAAGGTAATCACTCATACGCATTTCGAGATACGCTTGCTAAAGCGACTTGTACCAATCAATGCGCAGGTATAAATGTAGCGCTTTTAAAAACCCCTGTTTACCCATGACGTGACAATCCATACAGATGACTGGAGCAGTACAGGGAAGATGTATAATATGCAATCGATTTCCCCCTATATCTATGTATGTACGTATATATCTGAGGAGCATCAGAAGTGTATGTACTCGTATGTACACGCTTTGAGTACGGTATTAGGGCATCTTATTCCCGTACTCAAAGCGTTATTGTTATCGTCCCGAAGTACGATAACAATAACAGGCCAACCGGGTATTATGCGCCAAACGATTTTCACGCCATTATAATATACAAATTATCTGGCTACACATAGTCATAAATTAATGTCAAAAAAAGCATTTTGGAGTGCACGAGATCTAGAGCGAAACTTTCAGCGCATGTGCAAAACTGCAGAAATTTCGAGATTATGATTGTGCATAGAACAATTTCGGCATAATCAAATTCCCGCATAATACATTCTGGGCAATTTCTGGCATAAAAGCCACAGTAACGGATGGGCCGTTAGAATGCCGGTTTCCGCTTTTGGTTCGCTTCTTGAGAACTACTAGTCGCACTGCAAACTGTTTAGATTCATGTAATAGATAATTTTGTTAGCGATCCAAAATAGCAAAACGTATTAGTACTGTAAACCGAAAAATCTCGTTAGAAATCGTAACAGTTTAAATTATGTCAAACTGCATTGTGACCCGGCTTGCGACCCTACAATTTCGTCAAACCTTTTTTCCGGTACGACGTTTTCAAATTTTTTTAACAGGGCTTTCTAAGAGAACGACATGCGCATTTATTAAAAATAGTATCTGTTGCCTGTTGGCATGGTGCATACGCTGGATGAACTGTGCACCAAACAATTTTTTAGCTGCTTTGACTTTTTTTTATTCGATTATTTAGACATTTTATTTACAATTTTTCGTGAATCACAGGGTGGAGCAACACATGCCGGTTTTGTTGGTAATTGTAACTAGATGGAAACCCTTTCGGCAACGGGTAAGAACCAGGTCAGCTTTCGAAACGCTGGTATGAGAACTGTGGTGGTGGTGGTTGGATGGTTTAGTTAGAAAGTGGTTTATTCTAATTATCACTGGAACCAAGAGTATACTTAACCTGGCGCAAGCTATACACGTACTTCTACGGTACTTGTAGAGAGGTGGGTGTTAAACAAAGAACTGCCTCTTTGTGATAGTCTTAGGTTTCCTAACACTCGAACAACCTAAGACGATTCTAGGAGACCGAACAAACCGTTTGTGGAAGGGTAATCAACTACAGGATTGATTCATTGCTGGATTATCTGCGACGAGTAATGCCTTCCATAATTTTTTCACAACGTATCCCATCGTGTTAAAATTACGCCACACCATTGAAAAACGTCGCCGGTTAATTTTTCATTAGGTTTATTGGATTTCATAGGCTTCGTGGAATTTTCAGATTTCTTCTCAGGTGTTTTTTATTGATACACGTTTTACATTTTTTAGATTCCTTGAACTTCTCAGGTATTTGATATGTTTGTTACGAGTATTTTAGGTGTCTTTTTCTTGCAGTTTCGCGGGTCAACTAGATTTAGCTTTGGTGGTCAGGGTCAGACTTTTGGCAGTCACAATCAAAGTTTACTGGTCAAAATTCACCCAGCACAAAGGGCGTAATCCCTACGAAGAATCCCAGTAAAGAGCCCATACAGAATGAAGCCCAGTTGCTTTGTTTCCGGACAGTCGGCCAGAAACCTGTTCTATCTAGAAAACTCCTCTGATCACCGTGAGTTTCAAGGGCGGCTGTGTGGTTGGGATTAGTCGGGAGTGCGGTCCGCTGGGGTGCTTCGGAGGATGGCGAGTAAAGCGGCGGCTTCGATACCGTCTGGTTTACTAGCTCATCTGGGATCTCAGTTCTGAAAGAATAACCATGAGTCGGTTATTTATTTATTGCAACCAATTTTGGTATTTGATTCGATAGTAACTGAAACACCAGCTGCACACTGGTACCTAAACCTCGAAGAAAAAGAGGTGTGCCCGATAAAAAGGGCGCAATGCTGTATGAATCCATTGGATATCTTCTGAAGTCCAAGGCAAGAAGAAAGAAACATGCGGATATTTAATGCTAGTTACCGTAAACTCAGAATACAACTACCCTCGAAATTAACGCCCTTTGTGGCTTAAAACGCCTCTTCGAGAAACTTTTGATCGAACAAAAATCCAAGGCGTTTAATTCAGCATTTACGCTGAATATTATATCTTAATATATATACGTATAATAACAATATAACTATATTATTTATTACGCTAAATATACGTAATACGGGTTATCAGTATATCGCAAAAAGCTGCGCCACGCTCAACGGAAACGAGTGCTAGATAATCACGCTAGCTTGTTGAAGGATGTAACTAACTGGCATCATACACGGTAGCAAATTTGCAGTATGTACCGTGAAAGTACTCGTAGAATCGGGAGAAGTGCTTACCTAAAGCACACTACCTCATATCCTTGGCAATATCGAGTATTAGTGTCTCCAGATTGCCAGTAATGTCGGTTATCCCCCCGTGTGGATTGGCCCGTACTTCCGGCCGAGTAACGAACAGCGGATAGTTGTCTCCGTACGACACCGATACAAAATGCAATAGGATCAAAATTTCCACACACATCATCGTCTCGCACTCCTTAGAAAACTGCGCTTTTTGTTGTGTATCGATAAAATTATGTTGGGTACTAAATCGATGATCAAAAGGCACCGATCTATTCGTAGTACTGTAATGCCTTGTGTCGATTAAATTTTATTAGACTGGCAACATGTACATGGATGCTGGCAATTGTTGGGAGACGATTTTACCAATATCCAAATCAAGAGCATGAACAAACTGTGAGCCATGATCCATCAGGCAGCTCCATAATATTACGATGCAGCATAGAATTTCCTTGATGCCGTTAGAAACACGTTTATCGGCAGTAAACATGGCTAAGTCGGGTCAGCACAGCACTTTAAGCGGTGTTTTATCCGAAGCACAACTTCGATCTTTGACTATCTTTATCTGGCTGACTAAAGTACTGTGCCAAACGTACTGTACACAACAAGAACTCGGTGCTGATCGGTGTTACGAAATGCCGGTTGCGAGAACAACCGGCTGTTTTTCTCCGATCGCTGTTTCAGTAGCGGTAGTTGTACGACTTCCGAGCTTGTGTTTTAGTACGAGTACACCAAGAAATAATAATTATTATGAACCTGTACATACACAGCGCCATGGGGGCGAATTTGTTGTTGCCTGTTGTACTGTACTTCACTGTTACAAGCTTTCGTTGGCTGTAACCTATCAGGAATGTAAATACCAAATAGTACAAGTTTATAATACTGTCAATACATAATTATTATGACTGTAACGAGCGTCTAATCTTTCACTCAGCAATCTTTCACACATCATTCTTAACATCGTTTAACCCAGGTCTTATGACATTGTGGTACTCATACGAAAAAACGACTGCGGCATACTTTGCGGTGAGTACTGGTAAGTGGTATGCCGCATCCACGTTTTGAGGCCATTAACTTTTGAATAGGCTACCTAGAGTTGGTATGCCGTGTGAGTCGCTTTAAAGCGAATTCTATTGGCTAATGCTTACGAGCCAACCTCTTACTGCTTTTCTCGTTCCTATTGGACGAGCTCATGCTATTGCTATTGGGCAGCACAGCTGCTCCCATTGGCACAATTTATGATGGTGCCGTTTATATGCTCTCTGCGATTTGCTGGTTTCATAACAAATTTTCCTCCCACCCGTTTAAATTATGACGTTGCATAAAGGCATTGATTTATTAGGAACAGTTGGATTACATTACTCATTACTGCTTTACAGTTTTATACCGTAATTTTATTCACGTTTCCAGTACTGAGGTACGACGGTCGCAGTATTTCAAACAGGAATTCCCGAAAAAAATATCAATTCAAGCGAGACTGGAGACTAAACCAATTCAGCGAATAAAATTAAGCACAACGAACAACAGTCATAAGCTGACATGAACATTCAGAGTCTGGAAATAAGTATCCTAATTAAAACATCAAACTAGAAGTAGTCTTCGATGCTTTGATTAAAATCCAAAATGGTCCCAATCGGGAATTCCAGACGCCCGGCTACCTACAAGGCACAAGCAGGGCATACTCACTACACTGGAAATCTTATTCCGTATTCAAACAACATTTTTACACCAGCGCCTGTCAGTTTTAGATTTGTTTTATTTTGCATACAGATGCAACTTACCGTTTATAATTTTATTCAGCAGAAGCGGCCTTCCCAGATTTAACTGCAAATGTAATGATGGAAATTCCCGGATTTCCTGTAAAGACAATAAAATACAACTGCTGAATAACAAAATTCATATATGCGCATAGGTTTTCATTCAAACAGAATTGTATCAAAATTGCATTTGTATGACTTTACTTTTGTGATGTTAAACCAGTATTTAGACAATACTTAAGCAAATTATGGTAGGAATTCCCGCAGGATAAAAGAATTATTACCAGAAAAATTTACCTAAAAAGGAACTGACGCATCCTTTCGAAAAACGTGCTTTCTTGGTCGTGGAAGTTGCCAGATAATTATTATCGTAGGAGTTTATAGCCAAACAGCAAACCTCCAAATGACCGCGATCCCGTATTGTTACTGACGCTTGTGCGTTGGAATTCCAAGTTCCTCAAGATTATCAATGACGAACTGATCATGACAGGGATTCCCGAACAATCACAGCAAACCACAGGCAATCATATTCCAAAACATTACGAAACGACACAAGCAAAAAAAACGTCAAGAACTATATTCTGTGGGTTTTTGAATTTGAAAATTTAAAGTTCGACGTCTTAAAGTAGACTGCAGCTGCAGAGTGCAGACGTTGGGTTTACAGTACTGGTTGCTACGGGACTGAATGTGAGTGTACTAGACTGTATGTACAGACGTTCAAGTGGGCTGTACACAGCAGCCCGCTTGTTTGCAAGCCAATGGGAATTACAAAAACAACTAGGTTGCGGCATAGTCAGCCGCATAGTAACCGGCATGTTATGCCGCATACCACCTATCTATTATGCGCCAAGTCGAAATTTTGGCGTAAGCTCGATTTTCGTGTGAGGTAACGCCGGTAACCACGCTCAAGAACGCCTCAACACTGTGTGTGGGTAGCGCTTCCGAACGTAGCTAGACCTATAAGCGAAACTACGCCCACCGGAAACGAGCTCGTAATCGAATTTTTATTCGTCGAGGGGCGTTCTTTGGTTTATTGGAATTCTTAGATTTTTCAGGCATCTTAACTGAAACCGCGGGGTGCGATGAATTTGGGCAAAATATGGTAAGAATGTAAAACAGGGTGGAGAAAAAAGGGTTTTCACTTGTTTCCGTAATATGATACGACAAACTCAGTCACACAGCCCGCGTGCCGTGAGGCATAGCTTCAATCTGAACAGATGGATAAAATTATTGAATCATAATAATCGTAATTATCATAATAAAAAAGTCATAATAGTCGATTAATAAATCATAACAAACCATCAATCATTTGGATTTTTGAGTAGTCGACATCTTCTAATCCCTGTTTTTGATTTTCGGAAGAGCAGTCATTTTGAAGAACCTACTTATTTCATCATTTCTGTGAAACGATGGTTGCAATACTGTTACGACTAAAACACAGATTCATACCGTACGGTTTAGTTGGAAGCGCAGTTGTGTTTCTGATCCGATAAAAGTCATAAAACTATAGAAAACCCTTTAATAGTTTGTGAAATTTATTTCATAATAAATTCATTGTGCGATATAAAAGTGAACGCGCTTCCGCTGTACGAGCCGAACCAAACATATGGCAAACCAGATGTAACCTTTTGCAACCGCGGACCAGCAAAATGTGTTTTTATCATGATTAAATGCATTTAAATGTAGCTAAATTCGCGGCAAATTCTTTTTATGCTTTGTTACTTGTTATTTAGATAAAGATAGTGCTATGTACCGGTAAGGATAACGATTTTTCAAATGAAAATCAATTTAATCGTCAAGATCTGCGCACCTGTGCAGCCATATGGATAACACTTATCTTTTGCTTTACTGCTCACTTTCGAATTTTGTGGCGCGCATAAATAAATTTTATTGGTCACTTAGTTACTGGTGTTATTATTTCGTCCTTTAAAATCGTTTTTGTTTCCACTTCGCCTTCCATTAATTTGTGAGAGGCGCCGCTCCGTTGCACGAACATATTCAACATCATTACTACATGCATTATGATTATTGCTTAATGTATCCGTATCATATACGTTAACATGAAATGCGTATTTCGTTTTACAGGAAAACGCTGCCGTGCATTTTACTGGATTTCTTGTAGGTACTTACGCGAGGTGTTTCCGCAGCCGTCTGAATATGCCGCCGCCCTATCTCATACCCAGTATATGCGGACTACATGGAAAAGCACTTGAAACAAACTGCTTTCATCAGACTTCTTGTTATGCTGAGTATACGTCTGGGCACTCATCTCAAGTACATACCGGTAACATTAGTGAAAAAATATGTCTGGTGGCAGAATTCCGGGGAAGTATGTGTTTATGTTTTGTACTACGAAAGTACTCGTAATACTTAATGGAGAACATATGGCCGAAAAATACCTGCCGTTCGAATCCAGGAAAGCAATTATTTTTACCTCAAGGTCTCCTGTGGTAACTACATGGCCTTGGGATCTAAAAGCGTTTACAATTTTTGGCATTTCGTTTGTTCAAAGTTTATTTTTAGCTTTGCATACTTTGACATGATACTTGTGTGTCACTCTACTGCGATGATGAGCTACTTAGCGTCTTTTTCGTGATCAGCACCATCCACCGTTATCGCTGAGAAAAGTGGCGATTCGGTAAGTAGAGTAAAACGTTCGGTTCAACTGCTCACGTGACCTTTTAGAAATTTTCCTCGTCCTAATATAACTCTGTGTTCCCCTTCCTTTTTCCTTACTTTTCCGATTCCAGACGTGTGGAAGGAGAATGTAATACATAGATCGGGACCAAACTAACTTACAGTTTAACCAGTAACTTGTTGTCCTTGGTTGAACTGTAAAATAGTTTGGACCCAGCTCAGTATCTGGTCCCAACATCGAGTCACCTGCAACTGACAGTCCCCCGGAAGCCAACATTGAAAAAAATCGTCAAAACAACAGCATTCAACCAAGCATCTATTCTCTTACCCGGAAACAGAGAAAAAATCAAATCTTGTGCTGAAGGTGAGCTATGCGCTAGTCTATATTCTTTGTGGGTGTACAGATTGTACTTATATAATATGTGCGCAGTTTATCGGTTCAATTTTCTCGTGACTTTTCCCTTTTACGGATAGAAGTACACTTCGATGGTTTTAGCTTAGGTGTGTTGAATTGTACGTGCAGTTTAGACGTTTTGTGCTATGAACTATGCAGACGCCGTGCGCTGCGTCGGCACAATGCAAATTAATTCGAAATTACAGTCCTAATACAAGACACATGGCAGAAACATGGTACAGTACGTACGATGCGGTGAAAAAAATAATTCGGCAAGCTTTATTTATTTTTTATAGATGCAACCTTCGATTGCCAAGCGCGATTTGGTCAGCTGGCCGACCGAACGAAATGCACGAAAATATTATAATACGTATCTTTTATTGAAAACCAGATCCGTTATTACAGATATAATATCAGATACTGTAAGATATAATATCTGTAATAAAGGACCTGCTTTTCAACAAAACCGCCTTCCGGGAATCCAGTCTCTGCGCGAAAAAGAAGCTGTGATTGTGCGCGAACATCAGTTGCAACTTGTGATTAAAAAGAATTAAAACACTTTGCTAAACAATCATTTAAATTTGAAATACTTTCCTCATTTATTTTATGAGACCTGCAGTAAACAGATTCGAGTTATCTGCAGACTGCAGTTGCAAACGTAACTACAATTAAGAGGCGTGCTTAAAATGGAGATGATCCTCGTGCGCTGTATCTCTTGTCCTGCAATGTGGATACAAAGGGCATTTCAAAAGTATTTTTCCTT